AATGTAATCAACTTTTCCCTTTTGTGCTGGGAAAACTATTCTTTGTGGTTAATAGAATTAAGACTAGGGATATGAGTCCTCCTGAAAGCTAAATTCATCCCCAGAATATATAAATATACAATTTGGCAATACACATACATAAATGTATAAAGAGAAACAACTAGCCTTAGCTGGTTTGGCTCAGTGGATAGAGCATCAGCCTGCGGACTGAAGGGTCCCAGGTTCGATTCCAGTCAAGGGCACATGCCCGGGTTGTGGGCTCCATCCCCAGTAGGGGACATGCAGGAGGCAGCCAATCAATGATTCTCTCTCATCATTGATGTTTCTCTCTCCTCTCTCTCTCTCTCTCACTCTCTCTCTCTCTCTCCTCTCTGAAATCAATAAAAAGAGAGAAGCAATTAAAATATGAATATTTTAAAAATGAGGATGAACACAAACATAAAGCATTTTTGTTACTTCGCTATTATTTATACCTTATGTGAACAGAAGTTAACAGCAGCTAGGCAGGCAACAGGTTTCAGAAATCAAAGTGGGATTAAGATGAGTAGCTATAGGGTCTTATTCTATAAAACTACTGGTCAGAATAACAAAAGGGACTTTCTAAAAACAAAGAGCTGTGCATATGTGCATGTGTGTGTGTGTGTGTGTGTGTGTGTGTGTGTGTATACATACATATATATACATATATATGTGTATATATATATATATATATGTATTTAATTGTAAAATATTTAGTTATCTAGTTCAATCATGAATCTTTTATAGATGTGAGATGACCGGGGGCTCAGTTCAACCCAAGGGGTATTTAGTATTTTTCAGACAGCTCTAATTGTTTAAAGTTCTTCTATTTAAAGATGAAATCTGACTTTATATAGCTCTCACTCTTTGGCCCTATGCCTGCCTTGAAAAGCAGAAAATAAACCATCTTCTACAAAACAGCTCTTCAAAGATCTGAAGACAGGCATAGGGCCTCTCCAACCGTGTCCTCTGCTCCCACATTACCTGATCTCCAGCTCCCCTTCTCCATCCCTCCCTTTGAGCACTTTAGTTCATCAATGCTGTGCTTAAAATAAGGCACTCGGACTGAACTTCTCCTGGTATGGCCCGAGGTGTACAAAATAGCGAAGAACTCTAACTTTCTGTGATCTTGAATGCTGAACATCAATTCAGTTAGGTAAAAGCAGCCACTTGACTGCTGTTATAAGAACATCAATTTCAAGGTTTCTGGCAGAGAGAGGAGTTGTTTAATTCATTTAAAAAAAAACACCAACCTTACGCTTACATTTACAACAGGCTAAACATTCATGCCTTTTGATACAGAAATACCAACTGTGTCCTCTGTTCCCACATTACCTGGGATTTATATATATAATCCTCACCCAAGGAAATTCATTGATTTTAGAGAGAAAGGAAAAGAGAGATAGAAACATCGGTCTGAGAGAGAAACATTGATGGCTTCTTCATGTATGTGCTGTCTTCCTTTTATTAATATTAACTAGCTAATTATGATGCTAACAAAGGAATTAAAAAACGTGAGAGCACTCATTGCAGCCTTGTACTATTTACCTGCTTTAAAGAGGAAGCCTGCAGCTGGTAGGTATGGTAACTTAGGTCCAAACATTCTAGAAGGTACTTTGGCAAAACATAGTAAAAGCTTTAAAAGTGTGCAGTTCTTTGAACGAGGAATCCCACTTCTAGGAGTTTGTCAGGAGTAAAATAAAACCTAGATGTCCATGGAAGTTTAGTTGAAAGGACAAGCCACAGTGGCATTCATTAAATTTTTAAATTATAATTAAATAGAAGAATGTTTTGTTTTAGAGCAGTAGTTTAGCTCTGAATTGACTCACACTCAACAAGAACAACGACAAATAGAGAAACCAGCTGCAGCCTCCAAAATTTTTTCAGGAGCTTCCAAAGGTGAGAAAGAGTAGGAAACCTGGTGAAAAACCTTGAATGAGAAGGGGATGTAGACTCTCAGAGAGCTTAGAAAGCTCTTATTATTATTATTCCTTTCCAGAATGGGAAAACCCCACTTTGAAAGGGAACTATGAAAACAAGTCCTAAATCATACAAAGAAAGATTGCTAGGGACAATGGAAAGCACTGGAAAAAGAAAGGTGGGCGCCTTCTCTTAGAAACAAAGGCTGTAAAGAAATCTGGGAAAGAGAGATGGACAGAGAAGCTCTCATCAACCACGCTTTGAAATCCAGAGAAGAGGTGACTACTCACAGAGACCATGTCTGAAGTTTGTCACTGTGGCAACAGAAAGAGTTCCCCTGGCCACACCTTTCCACCCCTCCAACACTTGTTCAAGGCACAAAACAGTGGAGCAACGCCTCAAAGAACAACGCCTCAAGACACTCAAAGAAAAGTTAAGTTTAAGTATAAAGCCTATAGACAAACATATTGAAAACTGCAAGAAATCAGGAAATATCATGAGCCTTTTCTGAGGAACCTACTAGAACCATGGAACAGCAGTCTCAGTACTACTGAGCGAGTCTGAGGAAATCCAGGTAAAAGGCTGAGCATGAAATGTATTTGACTACAGACATGAGAGTAAAACCAACACAGAGGTTAGGATGACAGATCAGAATACAGATGTTACAATCCTTAATATGATAGGTATTTCTCATCACTAATAAAAAACTGAAGAAGAAAGAGAGAAGATAGGAATAAGAATAAGCTCACTGCCCGGCCAGCATGACTCAGTGGTTGAGCATTGATCTATGAATCCGGAGGTCACGGGTTCGATTCCAGGTCAGGGCACAGGCCCAGGTTGCAGGCTCAATCCCCAGTGTGGAGTGTGCAGGTGGCAGCCCATCAGTGATAAGATAATTTTATTATTGTTCATAGTCTCTCTCTCCCTCTCCCTTCCTCTCTGAAATCAATAAAAACATATATTTTTAAAAAGAATAAGCTCACTGATCACCTCAAATTAATTGATTCAAAGGATACTATTTAAAAATTCCAAATAAAGTAGAAGCTTAAGCATATTTAACATAAACACTAGGATTGATAATTCCATTGATTGTATGACGGAGGAGGGGTCAGGGGGAGAGGATGAGATTACAAGATATTTTTATTATTGTTCATAGTAGGTATTTAGAAGATACAGTCCCTAAAGAGAGTGGATCAACAGTATTTTATAAAGGTAACTTCTAGAACAAAAATACAAACCTTCCTAAATATCAGAACCACATTAAGAAAAAGGGCAACTACATAATGAAAACACTTTAAAAAGTATAGAATTGAGACCAAGTATATCTGTTATCTCAATAAATATAAATGAGTTTAACTCTATTTTATTTATTTATTTATTTGTAATTTTTTAAGTCCTCACTTGAGGATATGTTTTTATTACTTTTTTAGAGGGAGGAAGAGAGAGAGAGAAAGAGAGAGAGAGAGAGAGAGAGAGAGAGAGAGAGAGAGAGAGAGAAATGCACCCCGACCAGGGATGAGAACCTGCAGCCTAGGTATGTGTCCTGACCAGGAATTAAACCCACAGCCTTCTGGTGTATGGAGAATGCTCCAACCAGCTGAGCTACCTGGCTGGGGCTAACTCATCTACTTTAAAAATAGTTTTCAAAATAGATTGCAAAGCCCAATCCAACTATAGGCTGTATACATATAAGACAAAATAATTCAGAAAGCTTAATAATGAAAGGATGGGCAAAGAAAAGCATACAAGAAAAATACAAACTTTAAAACTCAATATCTGACAACATAGAATTCAGTACAAAAAGCTTTAAGTAAAATAAAGAGAAGTAGTTTTTAATGCTAAAGGCTACAATTTACCATAAAAATTTAAGATATGAGTATATATGCACAAAATAATACAGCAGGAACTTTCATATAATAGAAACTATAGAAATGCAAGGAGATTTAGACAAAGACACACTAATAATAGAAGACTTTGATTTGCTTTGCCCAATTCCAAACAAATCAAGTAGTCAAAATGAAATGAGAATTTAGAAGTCCAAACAATATAATCAATAAGGTAGATGTTACTGATATGTATCAAACATTATGCCCTGAGAATAGAGAATATACTTCCTTATCAAGTGGTCTGAAATATTTGTACACACAAAAGATTATATGTTAGGCCATAAACCAAAGCTCATTAAATCATCACAGTAAAAATAATATAGATAGCATTCTATAATAACAACACAATAAACATTGACATTTATAACATACTAGCATTTAGAAAACAAAGAGTGCCCTTCTATTTGGATGTGTGTGGGGGTATATATGAAATAAATCCATAATCAAATGGAAAATACAAATTCAAAACTGCAGAATTTCTAGTAAACAATAATAATGAGCATATATAGAAGGATCTAGGAATATAGTTAAAATAGTACTCAAAGAAAAATTCACCACCTTAAATAAGTATATCAACATAAATAAAAGAAAAATAAATGAAATAAACAGCTGACTTAAGAAACAAGAAAAAGAATTATAAAATAAACCAAAGGAAAGCAAAAGAAAAAATAAATAAAGATAAATACAGAAATTAATCAGTTAATCTAACAGAATATAGTAGAACAGCTTATTCTTTTAAAAAATTCAATAAATTAGGTAAGTCGCAAGCTAAGTTAATCATAATGAAGGAAACACACTAAAATACAAAATAAGAAATTACAAATGGGAAATAGTCACACAAATATTAGAAAGTAGAAAACAAAACAAAAAAGAATACCTTATACAATTTTATGCAGATAAATTTGAAAACCTATATGAAATGTATAATTTCATCAGAAACTAAAGATAGAAAACCAAAATAGACCAATTTGCATAAATTTTTCAAAATAATTTGAATATAATATGCATAATATAACATATAGATATAATGCTATATAAGTTACAATAAAACTTTTAAGAAATAATTTTGTCAAAATAATTAGATAAAATTTGTCAAACACCCTTCTCCCTCCCCCCAGAAAACCTAAGAAACATCAGGTTCATTGTTTTATAGGGGAATTCAACAACTTTACTAACCTTTAAAGAACAAATGATTCCAGTGATTTTTGAAAATGCTCCATAGCCTAGAAAAAGAACAAACTCATTTCAAAAAGAAAATATAAGTACAATGATATCAAAATATAATAACAATTGTAAGAATAAAGAAAAATAGGCCAATCTCATTTAAAAATATCAATACAAAACTCCTAAATAAAATTGTAGCAAACAGAATCCAAAAGCACACTGAAAGAAGAATATATTATGACCAGCTGGTCAGTGTGGGTCAGTGGTTGAGCATTGACCCATGGACCAGGAGGTCACAGTTTGATTCCCTGTCAGGGCACATGCCTGGGTTGTGGTCTTGACCCCCAGTAGGGGGCATGCAAGAGGTAGCTGATCAATGATTCTGTTGCATTGTTGATTTTTCTATCCCTCTCCCTTCCTCTCTCTGAAAACAATAAAAACATATTTTAAAATAAATAAATAAAAGTTATTTTTTTAAAAAGAATATATGATCAAATGGAGTTTATTCTAGGAATGGAAATAAGGTTCAATATTAGAAAATCTAATATAAATCATATTATGAACTACTGAACCACTGAGCCAAACCGGTGGGGTCATATTAATAGTTCTAAATAGAAAATCATGGGTAGCTTTATAAATACTGAAAATGCATTTGATAAATACTTATTCTTGATTTAAAACATTTAGTAAAATGGGAATTAATGGGTAGTTCCTCAAAATGAAAAAAAATTCTTAGCAGAAAAGCAATAGTTTGCTTAACAGGGAAATGCTAGAGACTCTAATATATAGAATATGTTAGACTTAATAACCAATGCATTGTAGGCATGAGAAATAAATTAGTGGTAAAAGAATTGAAGAAAAACATTCTAGATTATTTTTCTAGCATATCCTCTAGAATTCTCTTAAGGTTTCCAGACCCAAAAGGATTGGAGAGGAATGTTCAAGGTAGTATTAGAGGTGAAGGAAAGAGGATGAGCAAAAAGAGGAGGAAGGGAAGGAGAAAAGGAAAAAATGAAAAGAAAGAAAGATTTGGTGGTTTGAATACATTTGACACTCCATCCAAAATGTGGAGCCTATTTTTTTAAATATGTTTTTATTGACGAGAGAGAGAGAGAGAGAGAGAGAGAGAGAGAGAGTAAGGGTGAGGGAGAGATAGAAACATCAATGAGAGAGAAAATATCAACATTAATCAGCTGCCTACTGCATGGTCTCAATAAGGATCAAACCCATAACCTGGTATGTGCCTTGAACAGGAATCGAACCGGTGACATCCTGGTGCATAGGTTGATGTTGAACCACTGAGACACTGGTGGGGTCAAAATATGGAGCCTAATTTGCATGCCCCTGAATGTGTACTGGACTTAGTGACTAATGAATAAGTCAAAAATGATGTTATGTGACCTAGGAATCCATGTCATGAAAGATATTGTAGCTTCTACCTTGCTCTTTCTTGATTCACCTGCTCTGAAGGAAGACCCCTGCCATATGAGGACACTCAAGCAGCCCTGTGGAGAGGTCCATAGTGAGAGGCTGAGGTTGTGGCAAACAGCCATGTGGGTGAGCCATCTTGGAGGTGGCTCCTCTGGCCCTAAACAAGCCTTCCCATACACGAAGCACCAGTCAATAAATGTCCTGAAACCTCATCAGAGATGATGAGCCAGAACCACCCAGTTGAGCTCCCCCTGCCTTCCTAATTTACAGAAATTGTGAGATAATGTTTATTGTTTTAAGTCACTAAGTTTTGGAGTAATTTGTTATGCAGCCATATAACTAATACAGAGGGCAAAATAAAGTCATTTCAGGTTGATAAAAAGTGAACATGCCACCAGCAGACCTATAGTAAAGGAAATGCAAACAAATTTTTCATGTAGAAGGAAAATGAAACCAGATTGTAAGAGATAGAGAAGGAATGAAAAACAAGTAAAGTGATAAATGTGTGTATAAATCTAATGTTTCATCGGGTTTTAAAATATACCACAGGAATAAGATCTAAATAAGTGGAGAGATACATCAGAATTATGAATTGGAAGATTCAATGCTGTTAAATGTTAGTTCTTCCCAAATTGATCTATAGATTCAATGCAATCCCAATTAAAATCCCAGCAGCCTATTTTCTAGAAATTGGCAAACTAATAACATTTGTATCAAAAAGCAATAGCATAAAATAGCCAAAAAAATTTTGTAAAAGAACACAGTTGGCCTTGGCCAAATAGCTCAGTGGTTGGAACCTTGTCCTGATACACCAAAGTTGCAGGTTTGATCCCTGGTCAGGACACATGCAAGAATCAACCAATGAATGCATAAATAAGTGGAACAATAAATCTCTCTATCTTTCTCTCAAAATCAGTTTTTAAAAATATATTTTTATTGATTTCAGAGAGGAAGGGAGAGGAAGAGAAAGATAAAAATATCAATGATGAGAGAGAATCATTGATTGGCTGCTTCCTGCACACCCCACACTGGGGATCAAGCCCGCAACCTGGGCATGTACCCTGATGGGAATTGAACTGTGACCTCCTGGACCTCCTGGTTCATAGGTCAATCAATGCTCAACCACTGAGTCACACTGGCCGGGCTCAAAACCAATTTTTTAAAAATTAAAAATGGAAGAAAGAAAGGAAGGAAGGGAGGGGGAGAGGGAGGGAGGGAGGAAGGGAAGGAGAAAGAAAGGAAGAACACAGTAGGATGACTCAAACTATCTGATCTTAAGACTTACTATAAAGCTACAGCAGGGTTGGCAAACTATGGTCCATGGACCAAATCTAACCTGGAGGTTGTTTTTGTAAGTCTTAGAAACTAAAAATGCTTTTTTTAGGTTTTTAAATGTTTGGAAAAAGAAACAAAGAAAAGTATGCAACAGGAATTATAGGTAACCCATCGTTTACAGAAACAGTTTACTAACTCCTGAGTTACAGTATTCAAGGCAGTATAGTGTTGGTAAGAGGACAGACAAATAGATCAATGGAACAGAATAGAGTCCAGAAATAGATTCACACATATATGGTCAATTGATTTTTGACAAAAGTACCAAGGTAATTAAATGGAAAAAGGATAGTATTTTTGACAAATTGCACTAGATCAATTAGACAACCATATGCAAAAAAAGGAAGAGGAGGAGGAATAGGAAGGGGGAGTAGTGGGAGGAGGGGAGAGGAGTGGGAGGAGGGGGAGAAGAGGGGGGAGGAGGAGAAGGAAGGAAAGGAAGGAAGAAAAGAAGGGAAAGAAGGAAGGAAGGAAAGGAAGGGAAGGGAAGGGAAGGGAAGGGAAGGGAAGGGAAGGGAAGGGAAGGGAAGGGAAGGGAAGGGAAGGGAAAGGAAGAAAAAAGGTAAAAAAAGCCCACCTGGGCCCTAACTGGTTTGGCTCAGTGGATAGAGTGTCGGCCTGTGGACTCAAGGGTCCCAGGTTTGATTCTGGTCAAGGGCATGTACCTTGGTTGCGGGCACATACCCAGTGGGGAGTGTGCAGGAGGCAGCTGATCGATGTTTCTCTCTCGTTGATGTTTCTAACTCTCTATCCCTCTCCCTTCCTCTCTGTAAAAAATCAATAATATATATATATATTTTTAAAAAGCCCACCTGGTGTGGCTCAGGTCACAGTTTGATTCCCGGTCAGGGCACATACTGGGTTGTGGGCTTGATCCCAAATGTGGGGCATGCAGGAGGCAGCCGATCAATGATTCTCTCATCATTAATGTTTCTATCTCTCTCACCCTCTCCCTTCCTCTATGAAATCAATAAATATTTTTTAAAAAAGAATCTCAACCTATGTTGGGAGACAATTCTCCATGGTCTCTCATGCATCTTCACATCTTAAGAGTTAGACATTAACTCCTTTTGTTCCAGACTGTCTTTTCAAGGATGTTTTCCATGAAACAGACTGGAGATGTGTCTACCTTCAGAGCAAAGGGCAATTTTTTGTTTTTACTGTTCAGATAAAAAAAATAATGTATTTTTCTGGGGCAAAGGCTGCACAAGTTTGCTTGCAGTCCTTTATAAAAGACTAGTGGCCTGGTGCACGAAATTCGTGCACATTAAAAGGGGGTTAATTAGAGGAAATATTTTAATATTGCTATTTGCCCTTTCTCTATAATAGAAGTGCAGAGAGGAAAGAAAATTAGTAAAATGTATATGAAAATCTTCCTCCTGTCAGAGTCTGGGGCACGCCGCGGGACCCAGAGTCAAGTCCCCGCCTACCCGCGTGCATCTTGAAATCACGCGAGACCCAGACCTGGCCGGCCCCACCCCTGTCAAGCCCCACAGGGCCCGAGGGGGGGGGGGGGCGGTTGAGTGGAACACAGCCTCAGGTTCCCTGGTCCAGTCTCAGGTCCCCCGGCCCTGGTGCAAGGGCGAGACGGTGTGAGGGCACGAGGGCGTGATGACCATTTGCATATTAGCTCTTTATTATATAGAATTGATGTTCCCTAAGCTTGGAGTTGCTGAGCTGTGATACAAACCCTCTCTGTGTACCTGTTTGTATTTCACCCACCTGGGTCTTTTGGCATAGCCCCTGTGAGACTTGGGGACATGGGGAACCAATGCAAACATGAAGCTCACACAGCTTGCTGTGCTGCAATAAAGTTCTTTGTTTCTGTCTCAGGAGTCCTATGTCTTTTGTCAGCATCCGTTGAAATTGTGGCAGGGCAACTTGTTAACTTGCAAGTAGGGTAAAATTTTATATCCTTTATTGCTCTTGACAACCCCTACCTTGCATCATATACAAAAATTTTCTTGAAATGAATCATAGACCTAAATGAAAAACCTAAAACTATAAAACTTCCAGAAGAAGACAGGAAATCTTTATGTCATTGGGTTAGACAAAGATTTCTTAGGACCAAAAAGCATAACTCATAAAAGAAAAAAAGAAACTGAATTTCATCAAAATAAAAACTTTTGCTCTTCAAATGACAGTTAGGATTGTTAGGGCAGTAAGACTATTCTGTATGTTACTCTAATGGTGAATACACGTCCTTATACATTTGTCAAAACTCATAGAATGTACAACACCAAGAGTGAAACCTAATGTAAACTATGGACTTTGGATGATAATGATGTTTCAGTGT